TGTACGATATTTACATTGGCTTCGCCTCCTTTTATCCATTCCGAATATATGAACCATTTCTCTTTAATTTTCCTCATTTTATCTTCCTTCATAGCCTCACCGGTTGCAATTGCAATAATTTCTGATTGGACCTGGTCAAACAAATAATTATTCCAATTAACCATATCCCATTTTTTTGCATCTTTCCATCCCCAAGCTATTACAGCCTTCCCTGCAAGAATCATTGCTTTGAATAGATCTTGATATTTTGGATCAATCTTCCTGCATCCTAATATCCCCATGAACATCAACTCCATATTTATTTGCAGTGGTATCTTAAATATTTTCTCCATTTTACCTGTTATTTGTTTCCAGAATGTTTTTGCCTTTGGGCATTCCCACCACATATGTGCATACCATCCTTTGCTGAGGCCACAGTGCCAGCAAGTTGGGCTTTTACCGTTAATCATGATTGATAACTGTGCTGGGGTACAATACCATTTCCATAAGAATTTCCTTTCCATTTCTTTGAATTTCTCTATCTTGATTTTCCTAGCCTCTCTTATTAAGTCCTCTATTATTTGTCTTGTGAGTAATCCCTCTTTTTCCCATTTATTTTGCAGTGTTCTTATAATATATTCCTCATCTCTGATCATTCCTCTGTATATTTCTCCGATTAACCCTTTCTCTGAGATCTGTGTTTTTTTAATTATATCTTCCATTATACTTTCCTTACCTATACAATCTCCATACTTTCCCTGTTTCAATTTATTATATAATCCTAGTATCTTAATCCAATTTTTGTTTCCCATTTTATCTATTATTCTGCTTATAGGAATAAGATGGCCATTCATATCATATAAGTCTTTAATCCTATAGTATCCCTTGTCCCTCATTTCTCTCCACCAGCACGAATCATACTCCTTCTCGTAAAGGCTCTCAAGCGGGGTCCATTTTGATATTCCTGGCATTAATTTAGGTTTCCATTTTTTCCAAATTTTTAATGCAAGTTTTCTGGGGCCTCTTGTTCTTTAGATGTTTATTTCCAAATTCCCTGTAAAGATTCCAAAGCTTGCCTCTCTTTTATTAACTCCATCTTCAATCTTAAACCATTTATCCCTATTTTCTTTCATATTTTCAAGTAAAGGTTTTAGCTGAAAAGCCTCGTAATATAATTCCAAATTTGGAACTCCCCACCCCAGTTCTTCCTGATGTATATAATATAGTTTATTTGGCAACTTTCAAACCATTAACGAAAGGATTTGGAAGTTTTGAAAAGTTTTGAATTTTTTCCCCGTGAAAATCAGAATGGACATTAAAATCGAACCACCAGCGCCCCTACATCCGAAACGTGTTTTGAACCAATTTTTTTGGATCAACCAAGCCTAGTGGATACAGAAGGTGAATGGTAACCAAAACCCAAAGTTTATTTATTTATTTATTTATTTATTTATTTATTAATGCGCTTGTATACCGCTAATATCTCAGCCTAAATCGGCGACTCATTGCGGTTTACAACAATTAAAAAACAATATTCAATTTAAAAGCATAAAACACATATACAATACAAGTTATTGGGCCACCAATAACAATCCCATGCATCTCGTAACTGAAATCGCAATCCAAAATTCGTCGTCCATGATTACCCATCCTTTAGTCATCAAAATTCGTTGCAACGGATTAACCGAATGCTTGTTTAAACATCCATGTCTTCAATCTTTTCCGAAACACCATCAGCGAAGGGGCTGATCGTATCTCTATGGGGAGGGTGTTCCAAAGCCGAGTTAAGGCTGCATCTGCACTATAGATTTAATGCAGTCTGGCACCACTTTAATTGCCATGGCTCAATGTTATGGAATCCATCTCCCTGAAGGCGACTCGGGGCGGTTAACATGAGGCCAAGCCTGAAGATACAAACTTTTGCTGAGAGGTGATTAGATGTCCTTGTTTGTTTCCTCTCTGTTGTTGTGCTGTTGCAATTTTAGAGTTTTTAAATACTGGTAGCCAGATTTTGTTCATTTTCATGGTTTCCTTCTTTCTGTTGAAATTGTCCACATGCTTGTGTATTTCAATGGCTTCTCTGTGTAGTCTGACATGGTTGTGAGAGTGGTCCAGCATTTCCGTGTTCTCAAATAATATGCTGTGTCCAGGTTGGTTCATCAGGTGCTTTGCTATGGCTGATTTCTCTGGTTGAAGTAGTCATGTTCCTTGATTCGTGTTTGGGCGCTGCATTTGGTGGTCCCTATGTAGACATGTCCACAGCTGCATGGTACACGGTACAACAGCACAACAGAGAGGAAACAACCAGACTCATCTGAATACCTCTCAACAAAAGGTTTCCCCAGGCTCAGACAGGCCTTCAAATGCTAATGAAGGTGGTCAGCTGAAACATTCACACCTACCTCTAGCAGAGAAGAGCTCTTTGCCCCACCCCAGCCATTCCACAGATATATAAACCCATTGTCCTATTTCCAACAGACCTCACTACCTCTGAGGATGCTTGCCATAGATGCAGGTGAAACGTCAGGAGAAATGCCTCTAGAACATGGCCCTATAGCCCGAAAAAACCCGCAAGAACCTAGTGATTCCAGCCATGAAAGCCTTCGACAATACATATTCATTCACACCTAGCTCCAGCAGACAAGAGCCCTTTGTCCCACCCTGGTCATTCCACAGGTATATAAACCCTTTTTCATAGTTCCAACAGACCTCGCTACCTCTGAGGATGCTTGCCACAGAGGCAGGCGAAACGTCAGGAGAGAATGCCTCTAGACCATGGCCATACAGCCCGAAAAAACCTACAACAACCCAGTGATTCCGGCCATGAAAGCTTTCAACAATACAGAATTAATACAGTTCGACACGACTTTCATGGCCCAGTGCTATGGAATCCTGGGAGTAGCAACTTTATAGGATCTTGAGAGCCTGCTGCTCTACCAAAGAATGCTGGTGCCTCCTAAAACTACAAATCCTACGATTCTATGAACCATGGCAGTTAAAGCGGTACCAAACTGCATTAATTCCACAGTGTAGATGCACGGATGTAGATGCAAGATGGTGGGACTGGTATAAATTAGGGTTATTTCAGGTTCTCTATGGCTAGGCTGAAAGCAAGGTGGTTTTGAACCTTTTACAGAAGCACTTCGCTGACATTCCATACTTACTTACTTACTTAGGCGATCCCTCGTTGGACGAGTAAGATGGTCTTCCATTATGGGTTTCCTTGTCGGTCCGTATGTGGCTGTGGAGCTCTATTCTTGATCTGCATCTTCTTTCGCAGTGAGGGCATTGGTTTCCAGGCGGAAGGCGGTCCCGGTCAGGGTTGGCTTGACGCGCCTTCCTCCTGGCACATTTTTCTCTTTCACCCTCCACTCGTGCCTCCTCGAATTCTGCAGCACTGCTGGTCACAGCTGACTTCCAGCTGGAGCGCTCAAGGGCCAGGGCTTCCCAGTTCTCAGTGTCTCTGCCAGAGTTTTTGAGGTTGGCTTTGAGCCCATCTTTAAATCTCTTTTCCTGCCCACCAACATTCTGTTTTCTGTTCTTAAGTTCAGAGTAGAGCAACTGCTTTGGGAGACGGTGGTCAGGCATCCGGACAACGTGGCGGGCCAGCGGAGTTGATGTTGGAGGACCATCGCTTCAATGCTGGCGGTCTTTGCTTCTTCCAGCACACTGACGTTTGTCCACTTGTCTTCCCAGGAGATTTGCAGGATTTTCCGGAGGCAGCGCTGATGGAATCGTTCCAGGAGTTGCATGTGACGTCTGTAGACAGTCCACGTTTCGCAGGCATATAGCAGGGTTGGGAGGACAATAGCTTAATAGACAAGCACCTTGGTATCCCTACGGATGTCCCGGTCCTCAAACACTTTCTGCTTCATTCGGGAAAATGCTGCACTTGCAGAGCTCAGGCGGTGTTGTATTTCGGCGTCGATGTTGACTTTGGTGGAGAGGTGGCCTCCAAGGTAGCGGAAATGGTCAACATTTTCTAATGCTACACCATTAAGCTGTATCTCTGGCATTGTATCTCTGGCATATGACATTCCATAGCTGCTGTGCATCTACACTGCAGAATTAATGCGGTTTGAGACCACTTTCATGGCTCAGCGCTATGGAATCTTGGGAGTAGCAGCTTTACAAGATCTTGAGAGCCTGTTGCTCTACCAAAGAATGCTGGTGCCTCCTAAAACTACAAATCCTACGATTCTATGAACCATGGCAATTAAAGCGATATCAAACTGCATTAATTCTACAGTGTAGATGCACGGATGTAGATGCAAGATGGTGGGACTGGTATAAATTAGGGTTATTTCAGGTTCTTTATGGCTAGGCTGAAAGCAAAGTGGTTTTGAACCTTCTACAGAAGCACTTTGTTGACATTCCATAGCTGCTGTGAATCTACACTGCATAATTAATGCGGTTTGACACCACTTTCATGGCTCAGTGCTATAGAATCCTGGGAATAGCAGCTTTACAGGATCTTGAGAGGCTGCTGCTCTACCAAAGAATGCTGGTGCCTCCTAAAACTACAAATCCCATGATTCTATGAACCATAGCAGTTAAAGCGGTATCAAACTGCATTAATTCTACATTGTAGATGCACGGATGTAGATGCAAGATGGTGGGACTGGTATAAATTAGGGTTATTTCAGATTCTCTATGGCTAGGCTGAAAGCAAAGTGGCTTTGATTCTTTCCATGGCTGCTGTGCATCTACACTGCAGAATTAATGCGGGTTGACACCACTTTCATGGCTCAGTGCTGTGGAATCCTGGGAGCAGCAACTTTACAAGATCTTGAGAGCCTGCTGCTCTACCAAAGAATGCTGGTGCCTCCTAAAACTACAAATCCTACGATTCTATGAACCATGGCAGTTAAAGCGGTATCAAACTGCATTAATTCCACAGTGTAGGTGCAACTAGGTTAAGAGAAAACCGCAGCGGAGAGGCATATATATATATATATTTTAAAAAATGTTTCTTTAAGGGGAAAACTACACCTCCCAGAATGCTCCTTGCTACTCCATTTCCCAGATTCGGACGCAAAGGAAGCCGTCTCCAAAGAGGCGGTTGCTTTCCCCTTCTGCCCAGCTTTGCAAGGTGCTGTTCATGCAAGAGCTGTAATTGCAGATTTCATTATTTCTTTGTGTTGTTATGCAGTTTCCCCATTTTGGGTGGAAGATGGGATGGCTCAGGAACGCCTCGGGTAAGTGGTAACGTGAGAACCCAGCAAATGCGTGTCAGGGTTGATTCGGAGGGGGTTCAATGAATGCCTTTCCCGTGATTTGTAATTGCAGGATTGTGAGTGCATGTGTCTGAATCTGCAAACAGATTTGAATTGAGATTAAACAAATTGCAAAAGGGCATTAAGGGGAATGGAAGGCATTCAAATCACCCTCATGCTAGAAACTGGTATTTTAGGGACTCAAAGGACATGACTTTCCTATTTTCCCCTCCCAGTTTGCTTTGGAAACCTCTTTGCAATGGCTGCCACGAATGTATTAACAAAAATGGGCTGGATTTATTTTGGGCCTATGATGCAACCTATTTTGAATCCAATGTCAGTGCCTCCTGCCAGTCTTTTCAAGGAGGCTGGGCTCTGGGGATGCTGTGCATCTACACTCTGGAATTAATGCAGTTTGACGCCACTTGAACTCCATTGGCTCTTTGCTGTGGAATCCTGGAAGTTGTAATTAAGAGGGTAGAGAAAGCAAAAGTCTTTAGGAAACGACAACTTCCTGAATTCAATAGCATTGGTATCAATGGCATTAACGTGGTGTCATAGAATCATAGAATCAAAGAGTTGGAAGAGACCTCATGGGCCATCCAGTCCAACCCCATTCTGCCAAGAAGCAGGAATATTGCATTCAAATCACCCCTGACAGATGGCCATCCAGCCTCTGTTTAAAAGCTTCCAAAGAAGGAGCCTCCACCACACTCCGGGGCAGAGAGTTCCACTGCTGAACGGCTCTCACAGTCAGAAAGTTCTTCCTCATGTTCAGATGGAATCTCCTTTCTTGTAGTTTGAAGCCATTGTTCCATTGCGTCCTAGTCTCCAGGGAAGCAGAAAACAAGCTTGCTCCCTCCTCCCTGTGGCTTCCTCTCACATATTTATACATGGCTATCATATCTCCTCTCAGCCTTCTCTTCTTCAGGCTAAACATGCCCAGCTCCCTAAGCCGCTCCTCATAGGGCTTGTTCTCCAGACCCTTGATCATTTTAGTCGCCCTCCTCTGGACACACTCCAGCCCATCAATATCTCTCTTGAATTGTGGTGCCCAGAATTGGACACAATATTCCAGGTGTGGTCTAACCAAAGCAGAATAGAGGGGTAGCATTACTTCCCTAGATCTAGACACTAGGCTCCTTTTGATGCAGGCCAAAATCCCATTGGCTTTTTTTGCTGCCACATCACATTATTGGCTCATGTTTAACTTGTTGTCCACAAGGACTCCAAGATCTTTTTCACACATACTGCTCTCAAGCAAGGCATTGCCCCCCATTCTGTATCTTTGCATTTCGTTTTTCCTGCCAAAGTGGAGTATCTTGCATTTGTCACTGTTGAACTTCATTTTGTTAGTTTTGGCCCATCTCTCTATTGCATTAATTCCACAGTGCAGATGCATCCAAAAGGAAAAGGACATGTTGGTTCCGCTGGCTGTTCAACGTTACATAAATAATAGTACCATGATTCCCCTTCATCTGCATTTCATGGTATATTCGGAGTCCCTTCTGGGAGAGAGGGTGGGTTAGAAATTTATTATTATTATTATTATTATTATTATTATTATTATTATTATTATTTGAAACACAACAAGATTAGTCCACAGCAGACACTCTGCTGGCTGTTGTATTGGATCACATGTCGGACACTTCCCAAGTGTCTAGGACTGTGTAATGTATCGGCCAATAATGCGTGCAGATCCCAGTAAGGTGGCCTTCTGCAGCTGGCAGATGGTAATCTTGTCAGTGCCAATTGTGTTTAAGTGCAGGCCAAGGTCATTAGGCACTGCACCCAGTATGCCGATCGCCACTGGAACCACCTTGACTGGCTTGTGCCAGAGTCTTTGCAGTTCGATCTTTAAATCCTCATATCATGTCAGCTTTTCCAGTTGATTCTCTTCAATCCTACTGTCACCTGGGATTGCAACATCAACAATCCATACTTAGTTTTTTAACACGATCGTGAAGTCAGGAGTATTGTGCTCCAAAATTCTGTGTGTCTGAATTTGGAAGTCCCAGAGGAGTTTGACGTTTTTATTCTCTGTAACTTTTTCCGGCTTGTGATCCCACCAGTTATTTGTTGCAGGCAGATGGTATTTGTGGCATTTTATTTATTTATTTATTTGAAACACAACAAGATTAGTCCACAGCAAACAAGATCACTCTTCTGGCTGTTGCATTGGATCACATGTCTGACACTTCCCAGGCGTCTAGGACTGTGTGATGTATCGGCGAGTAATGTGTGCAGATCCGAGTAGGATGGCCATTTGCAATTGACAGATGGTAATTTTGTCAGTGTAGATTATTTTTAAGTGCAGACCAAGGTCTTTAGGCACTGCACCCAGTGTGCCGATCACCACTGGGACTACCTTTACTGGCTTGTGCCAGAGTCTTTAAATCCTCATATCTTTTTCCAGTTGCTTCTTGTCAATCCTGTTGTCGCCTGGGATTGCAATATCGACGATCCATGTTCCCCCCCCCCTATTATTATTATTATTATTATTATTATTATTATTATTGGGTTGTAGGTTTTTCAGGCTATATGGCCATATTCTAGAAGCATTCTCTAGAATGAGAGGTGTGTGGATGCGCATTGTCATGAAGGAGACACTCCCGCTGTCAGTAGCCCCTGACATTTGTTTTGGATGCCTTCTTGAAGTTTTTTCATGGTCTCAAAATATATTCCATGCTGTCTTGATATTATACCTTCTCCATAAACTGAAACAATTTTCACGATGAATCGCAGCAGAATTCATGCCCATAGCATTTAGGTAGTGTATTATAGCATGAACTTCGCACTTGGAGGGAAACAGAATGAGGATGCTCATCTCTAACCTTCACCACACCACCAGTTGTTGAGCTACTGATGACTGGCACTGCTCGTTCATTCCTCTGGCTTCCCGCTACACGGCAGTTATAACAACTTCCCCTGAGAAAAATCTCTGTGAGAACTACGTGCCTTGTAACCTTACTTTCCACATAACCCTCATAATATTTCAAATGATCTTGAAATAGTTGTCTACAGTTTGTTTATCTCAATTGTGAATTCACTATAAGTGTGTTTTTCCTCTTTCTCTCCATTTCCTTCCTTACCCTTGCAGGGGAAACTGAGATCCTGAAGAAGAATGAAGACAGCAATCTCTGGTGAGAAATAGATCACTCTCTGTGGAGTTTGCAAGGAGTGTGCTCTCCTTCTATGGAGAAGTCCTGTTTATCTGGATCATCCCTTTCCAAGAAATTGAGACAGATGAAAAGCCAGACAATGTCTGAGAGCTCACAGTGGTTGAAAGGATGCCTACAACCAGAGACAGAAGACCCTGAATGGGACGAGGCCTCTGACAGTAGTTCAGTTGTCTTTATCGAGGAGAAGGGAGACGTTGGATGTGTGACTGATTTCATGGATGTCAGACATATCTCTGGCATGATGGAGGCTGAAGTAGAGAAAAGATCCTTGGTGGAAGAAACAGAGGTTTTTCTTTATCCAGAGAGTGGTCAGCCAAGGGTTGAGCTTTCATCAGAAGGATCCGAGGAAATCACTTACCAAAGAAAACATTGCAACAAAGCTGAAATGATATGTCCGGAGGCAGCTTGGCTAAACCAAGATTCTGAAGAGAAGGAACCTGGAGACTTTGACTATGATGGTGGGTCGCCGCTTGGAGTTGATTCTGAGATGACTCTTGATCCAGAAGGATCCAGTGGAGACGAATTGGAAGAGGTCTCATATTGGGGAGGAGCTGGTATGGATGAAGCAGACATTGGGGGAGATTCTGAGTTAGTTGTTTATCAGAATGGTTCTCCTCTAAGGGCAATATCTAGTGGGGATGAATCAGAAGAAATCCACTCCCATCCGGGTGATTTTTCCAGGAATGGATCCAATAAGAAAGCAATGAGTACGTGGGCTGTCCCTGTACAGGAACTAGTAGCTGAGCGACGACCACCCAAGCCACGCCATATCTGCAGTGAGTGTGGACGTAGCTTGGCCAGCCACTCGGCCCTTGTCCGCCATTGTCTTATCCACACTGGTGAACTTCCTTACGAATGCCCAGAGTGTGGGCGCCGCTTCCGACAGTCCTCCGCCCTTGTCCGCCATATTAGGGCTCATCGGGGTGAGCGTCCATACGTTTGTGGTGAATGTGGGAAAGCGTTTGGGGTCAGATCAGCTCTGGTTCGCCATCAGCGAGCACTGCACACAAGTGAGAGGCCCTATGTCTGTGCTGAGTGTGGGAAGGCTTACGCGGACCTATCCATCTTGACAAAACACCAGTTGATTCACATAAATGGGCGTCCCTTTTCTTGTCCCGAATGCGGCCAATCATTTGGGCATCGCACCACCTTGACCCAGCACCGACGCATCCACACAGAGGAGCGACCGTATCGTTGTATGGAATGTGGGCAGACTTTTCGGCAAAACTCAGCCCTAGCCAACCACCGCCAAGTCCATTCCGGCAAACGTCCCTTTTCTTGTCAGTATTGTGGCAAAGCCTTTGCAGGCAGACCTACTCTAGTCCAACATTTGCGCACCCACACGGGGGAAAAGCCATACACTTGCCAGGAGTGTGGCCGCCAGTTCAGCACCAGCTCCAACCTCCTGCAGCATCGGAGAAACCACCTGGGTGAACGTCCTTTTGCCTGCTCCTTGTGTGGCCGGCAGTTTGCTCGACGGCCAGACTTGGCTCGGCACTATGTCACACATGCTGAAGGGAGCATCAGGCCTCATCGGTGTGGGGACTGTGGGCGGCGCTTTATGGAGCTGGTGGACTTGGAGCAACATCAAGCCACCCATCGTGGAGAGCGTCCCTATGTCTGCAGCTACTGTGGGAAATCCTTTACAGAGGCTGCAACTCTGGCCCGCCACCGACGGTCACACCTTTCCGCTGCTGAACAGACCTACAAATGTGACGATTGTGGGCTGACCTTTGGGCAGAGTTCTGACCTCTTGGCCCATGGACGGATACATAGCGGGGAGAGGCCTTTCGCTTGTGCGGACTGCGGCAAAGCCTTTGGCCGAAGCTCGAATCTGTCTCGCCACCGGCGGATGCACACCCACGAGCGCCCCTATGTTTGTGGAGACTGTGGGAAGAGCTACACCCAAAGCACCCACCTCATGGAGCACCAGAGGCAGCACACGGGTGAACGGCCCTATGAATGTGGGAACTGTGGACGCTCCTTTGGTAAGAAGGGGCACCTGGACTCCCACCAGCGTGTTCACCGCCTGTTGCCAGGATCTCCAGAGAGGAATGATGAGTCCCTTGTGGAATGTGATGATTCTGGCAGTCCACAGGATGTTTAAAAGCATTTAAGGTGGCATGAGTTTTGGGTTGGGAAGTGAGTTAAGGGTTTAGGGAAGACTTAGCCCTAAAACTCTTCTAAATGCCGCAGTTCTGCTCGTCTCTAGGATAGAGTTTCTTTCCATGAGAGACTACACAGAGCTTCACTGTTGTTCACATGTCTTGACAACTGAGAAGAAGGTATTCCTGGAAAGATGATTATTTGTGAATTCCTGTAACAATAGAAATGTTCTTGACTGGCTATCGGTGCTTCTAAACTGCAGTGTGAAACATAGACTTTCTAACAGCTGGATAGGTTTTTGGGCACAAGAGAAAACCCAAGATATGTGCTAAATTCCCAGTACAGTCTCTCTCTCATGCCATTCCTGCAAAGTTGGGATTCAAACATAGCTCATGGTAGATCTTACAAGTGACCCTAACCATTAGATTCCACTTCCAAAATGGGGAAACTCTCTCTTAGACTTTGCCCCTTTGCTTCTATTCTGATTCCTTCAGATCCAAATGAAATTGAAAAAGCAGTAGTCCAAGTCTTCCATCATGTAAATGTTTTGTCCCCTGTCTCCCATCTCAAAAAGGTTGGGTCTCAGTAGCTAAAACTCAAGTGCTGGCCTGCAAGGTTGAGCCAGGTCTCTCCAGAGAAAGCAGCATTATTATTGGGCCTGTCTCAAGAACCCCTCCTCTACCTCACCACCCTTTGAGCTGCTAGGTTTTGCTTTAATTCTGCAGATTTGTTGCTTTAATTGTGCTAATAAGAGAAAAGAATATCCTTGTTATATACTGAATATGAGTGTGATGTTTGGTTTCTCTGTCTGTGTAAAAGTGTGATTTTTAAGTTTCTATTCAAACAGATAGTGAAAATACATAGGAAAAGAACACTTCCTTGGGATTGTGTTTTTAAACATATACATAAAAGAGGCTTCCAGTCCAAGAATTTCTAGGGAAGGGGATGTAGGTAAGCACGAGGAGAGACAGCTTATGTCGATTTTTGCATTGGAATAGCCTTATCCACTATATCTAAGGAACAGGTTAGTTTAGGGGACACAGGACAAATGACATGGCACACATAAATTTGGACTTTCAACAGCGAGAAAGGCTGTATTCAGGAGAAGGAGGTGGTAGGTTGCCACCACAACCAGGCCCAGTATCTTCCATCTGGAGCAATTGCTTCACCATGCCTAATACTGATTGAGTTTCCCTTATCCAAAAGAATTGGACCCTGAAATGTTTTGGAATTTGGATTTTCCACGATTTTGGAATATCTGTATTTACTGCTTTGAGTCTTGGAAGCTGCTTTAGATCTCAATTAAGAGGGGAAAGCAGGATGATAATGATGATAATAATAATAATAATAATAATAATAATAATAATAATAATAATTAAAAGATCAAACTGCAAAGACTCTGGCACAAGCCAGTAAAGGTGGTCCCAGTGGTGATTGGCACACTGGGTGCAGTACCTAAAGGCCTTGGCCTGCACTTAAACACAATCGCCACCGACAAAATTACCATCTGTCAGCTGCAAAAGGCCACCCTGTTCAGATCTGCACACATTATTCACCGATACATCACACAGTCCTTGGGAAGTGTCCAACATGTGATCAAATACAAAAGCCAGCATGGTGATCTTGTTTGCTGTCTACTAATCTTGTTATGTATCAAATAATAATAAGACACAGATACTATCTCAATAGACAAGAGTTCTTTTTCCCACCCTGGACTTTCCGCAGATATATAAACCAATTTTCCTAGTTTCCAACAGACCTCACAACCTCTGAGGATGCCTGCCTAGCTGCAGATAAAATGTCAGGAGAGAATGCTTCTAGAACATGGCCATACAGCCCAAAAAACCTACAACAATCCAATGATGATGATGATGATGATGATAATGTACATAGTGAGATATCTTAGAGATAGGATCTAAGCCTAAAGATGGAAGTTCATCTTTTATAGACACTTTATACACATCTGAAGGAAATTATATGCACAACATTTGGAATAATTTTGTGCATGACACTAGGTCTGTGTACATTACACCATCGGAAAGCAAAGATGTCACTATCTCTGCCACAATTTGGTTTTGGGATATTTTTGATTTTGGAAGTTTGGATAGATGATGCTCAACCTGTAATAGGGCTGGCCTGGGTTGCAATACATCACATCCAGATGCTGAACTGCAAATATTCTTCACCATTGGCTATGCTGTTAGGGTGGATGGGAGTTGCAGTCCAATAACATCTGCAAGACTTTGGTCTTCCCTACTTCAAGGTGTTATATACCTCTAGGTCTGAGGCATGATGTGTCAAACTTGGTTTAATAAAGAGAATGACATACGATGGAAGTAATATTCCCCCCTCTGGTGTTGTATATTACATTATCAGCCATGTACCTGATGTGCTCAGTATTCTACTGTTGTAGTGATAATATATCATTTTGGAAATAAGTTACATTTTGAGTGTGAGGAACCATTTATTTTAAGCATTTAATAAACTCAATAGCAGCATTGGTTGCACATTTGTTGTTGTGTGTCCAAGGAATTTCTGACTCTTGGTGAACCTATCATGGGGTAATGTTGGCAAGATTTGCTTACCTTTCCCTCTCTTCGAGGCTGAGAGAGTGTGACTTATTCAATGCCATTAATCTAGTTTCCATTTTTGGGTACAGATTTGAACCCTGGCCTCTAGAGTCATTGTTCAATGCTCAAACCACTATATTACTACTTTTTTTGTTGTTTGCATAGATCTACCTGGACATGCAACACTTGGAAAAGTCTTTTGAGCAAGTTGCAGAATCCTCTTGCCAGAAAAGTGCTGTTCCAAAAATTGTAGCTTTTTTAAAGCTCTGGTTTCATGATAATAAAGTACATTGCATATTGTAGAATTAACGTAGCTTGACACCACTTTAATTGTCGTGGCTTTGTGCTATAGAACCATGGGAGTTGATTACTGCAACGCGCTCTACGTGGGGTTGCCTTTGAAGACAGTCTGGAAGCTTCAATTAGTCCAACGAACGGCAGCCAGATTGCTAACAGGAGCGGGTCTCAGGGAGCATACAACCCCCCTGTTGCGTCAGCTCCACTGGCTGCTGGTTTGCTACCGGGCCCAATTCAAAGTGCTGGCCTTGCCCTATAAAGCCCTAAACGGTTCTGGCCCAACTTACCTGTCCGAACGTATCTCCCCTTATGAACCATCAAGGACCTTGAGATCGTCCGGGGAGGCACTGCTCTCGGACCCGCCTTCATCACAGGTACGTCTGGCAGGGACGAGAGACAGGGCCTTCTCAGTGGTGGCCCGTCATCTATGAAACGCCTTCCCTAGAGAAATTAGATCTGCTCCCTTCCTCTTAACGTTTCGGAAGCAAGATAAAACATGGCTATTTGAGCAAGCGTTCACAAATAGAGTAACGGATATAGATAACTGATATAGGAAATCTGACAATTTGACAACGGAATTGGACAATGCTTGACAATAAGGAGACGCTAATTATGTTGTTTTTATTGCTTGTTGTGTTTTATGTTGCTTTAATGTCTAATTTGTACTATGATATTATGTATACTGTTTTGTTGGAAACCGCCTTGAGTCGCCGATAGGCTGAGAAAGGCGGTATACAAATACAGTAAATAAATAAATAAAATAAATTTTGCAAGGTCTTTAGGCGTCTCTGCCAAAGAGTGCTGGTGCCTCACCAAACTACCAATCCCAGGATTCTATAGCATTGAGCTATGGCAGTTAAAGTGATGTCAAACTGCATTAATGCTACAGTGTAGATGCACCCATAGGCCACAATTCATTATGAGTTGGAAGCATGACTTCTCTTCCTTATAATTCAAACCAAATCCATGCAACACTCTTTTCCAAACAGATGGGACACGCCTCTTTAAAACGGTTGTTTTCAAAAATGTTCCCGTATAAATATTTTCTACTTTTTAAAATAGGTTACCTTGCTGCCAAACTTGAAATGAAACTTTGAAGCCATTTGATTTAAAGTTCTCCAGTTTAAAATAAATGATGCTGCTATATGTTACAGTGATGTTTTCCTGCTTTAGAAGTGGAATAAAATTTCTTGTTTCCAAAGATATAATACTGATTAGCAAAGGTAAGGGATGGTACACGTGGAAGATGCATGAGAAGGCCAAACGTTTTGTTGATGCAGAGGATCCTGATTATTTTAGTGTGTTTTAATCTTAGGGCTACGTCTTTTAATATATGTGTTTTAATGATCTTATGTTTTTAATCTGTGTATTTTAACAGTGTTGTATTCTGGCTCGAGTCTTGAAGAGAAGCGAGCAATAAATAAAATGTATTCTTCATAATATTTGAAACTTGAACTTTGTCTTATGGGTAAGCAGTTGGAGAAAAATCACGGAATACTACCATAATATAGTGATCATGGCTGCAATATAGTGATCACCGTTTATATGCACAGAGATGGAAGAATACATCTCCACCGACAATTTAATTGAATGAACGAACAAATGAGCTCTGTTGATTAGAGAAAAAGGAAATTCCTCATAAACCTTTAGACATATATCATTTAGCTATATAGCGCCATCAAATGGAGTTCTAAAGTAAAATATATAAACAGTCCCTGCCAAAGGTGGACAGTCTATACATGCCAGATTAACCCCCTGAAACTCTATTAATACTTAAAGTATGTCATGTTTTGCAAATTTGCTCTAGATCAACCTTCCTAATGCCACAACCCCTTAGTACAGTTCCTCATGCTGTGGTGACCTCCAAGCATTATTTTTGTTGCTACTTCATAACTAATTTTGCTACTGTTATGAATTGTAATGTAAATATCTAATATGCAGGATGTATTTCATTCACTGGACCAGTCATGCTTCTCTATTTAGAAGTTTGAATACTGGTGGGGTTGGAGGGGGATTGATTTTGTCATTTGGGAGTTGTAGTTGCTGGGATTAATAGTTCATGTTCAATCAAAGAACATTCTGAACTCCACCAATGGTGAAATTGAACTAAACTTGGCACACAGGACTCCCATGACCAATAAAAAACACTAGAATGGTTTGGTGGGCATTGACCTTGAGTTTTGGAGTTGTAGTTCACCTGCATCCAGACAGCACTGTGGACTCAACCAATGATGGATGCGGACCAAATTTGGCATGAATACTCAATATGCCCAAATGTGAACACTGGTTGAGTTTGTTGAAAATAGACTTGACATTTGAGAGTTGCAATTCCTGGGATTTATAGTTCACATACAATTAAAGGTCATTCCGAACTCCACCAATGATGGAATTGAACCAGACTTGGCACACAGGACTCCCATGACCAAAAAAAAAAAAAAAAAAACACTAGAAGGGTTTGGTGGGCATTGACCTTGAGTATTGAAGTTGTAGTTCACCTGCAAACAGACAGCACTGTGGACTCAACCAATGATGGATGCAGACCAAATTTGGCATGGATACTCAATATTACTACACAATATCCCAGAGTACTTGTAAGATATCAGTACAAACACAAAACAATCTATGCGTAATGTCAAAGTGTATTATCAAGAAAACATATAATATTCTATTTACCAAAATCCCCAGTACAAAGCTCAATTCAGTGGTACACAGAAATCAAAAGGAGCAACTGCTCTCAAACGTAACCGTTCTGGGTTTGGATAGGGATTCCACTGTGTATAGGCTTCAGGGATACATTCAATGCAAAAAGTCATATAAACAAAGTAAGTATAGAGTCATGAGGCTATATGTAAGCTGAAGACAATAATGAAGATGAAGCGTCACTCTCAAAACAATCTTCATGGAAAAGATCCAACTCAAGTCCAGTGAAAAATGGAGCACTGCTTCTCAAAATAAGTCTTCAAAGAAAAGTCCCAATGGCATTCTACAGGGGTGTCCGGGTATTTTTGTACCCTGTTTCGGGCAAAGCAATCCCCTTCCTCAGGAGTTGATAAATTCAGCAACTCTAGACTATAACATATACTCACATCATGCCAAGTAGACAATGACCCTTCAGAATTACTCGCAGTGTGAATTTACTTCTAGCAGAGTCACTTTTTGTATTAGCTACTTGGCATGATGTGAGTATATGTTATATGTTTGATGTATCCATTATCTTCACTACTGTAATTGTGCTGGAAAATACTTGTTACTCTATGTGATGTTATGTTTTGTTATAGATAAGAGTCTAGAGTTGCTGAATTTATCAACTCCTGAGGAAGGGGATTGCTTTCCCCGAAACAGGGTACAAAAATACCCGGGCACCCCTGTAGAATGCCATTGGGACTTTTCTTTGAAGACTTATTTTGAGAAGCAGTGCTCCATTTTTCACTGGACTTGAGTTGGATCTTTTCCATGAAGATTGTTTTGAGAGTGATGCTTCATCTTCATTATTGTCTTCAGCTTACATATAGCCTCATGACTCTATACTTACTTTGTTTATATGACTTTTTGCATTGAATGTATCCCTGAAGCCTATACACAGTGGAATCCCTATCCAAACCCAGAACGGTTACGTTTGAGAGCGGTTGCTCCTTTTGATTTCTGTGTACCACTGAATTGAGCTTTGTACTGGGGATTTTGGTAAATAGAATATTATATGTTTTCTTGATAATACACTTTGACATTACGCATAGATTGTTTTGTGTTTGTACTGATGGATACGCAATATGCCTAAATGTGAACACCAGTGGAGTTTGGAGAAAATTGACCTTGACATTTGGGATTTATAGTTCACCTACAATCAAAGAGCATTCTGAACCCCACCAATGATATAATTGGGCCAAACTTCCCACACAGAACCCCAATAACAAATGGAAAATACTGTGTTTTCTGATAGTCTTTGGCCCTCTGACACCTCTCAGATTATAAAATATATTTATATAGTTGTGGGAGTGGGATATAATGTAATAATCTATATAAATAAAAATGTAATGTTCGTTTGTGGGATTAACAGAACTCAAAAACCACTGGACGAATTGACACCAAATTTGGACACAAGACACCTAACAACCCAATGTATGTCCTTCACTCAAAAAATTGATTTTGTCATTTGGGAGTTGTAGTTGCTGGGATTTATAGTTCACCTACAATCAAAGAGCATTCTGAACCCCACCAATGATGGAATTGAACCAAACTTGGCACACAGTTCTCCCATGACCAACAGAAAATGCTGGGAGGGTTTGGTGGGCAGTGTCCTTTGGTTTTGGAGTTGTAGTTCACCTACATCCAGAGAGTACTGTGGACTCAAACAATGATGGATCTGGACCAAACTCTACACAAACCAATATGCCCAAAATGTGAACACTGGTGGAGTTTGGGGAAAATAGAATCTTGACATTTGGGAGTTGTAGTTGCTGGGATTTATAGTTCACCTATAATCACAGAGCATTCTGAACCCCACCAATAGAATTGGGCCAAACCTCCCATACAGAACCCTCATGTGGTCCACAGCTACGCGTGGCAGGGGACAGCTTGTGTAATATAAATAGTTTAAATGGTCTCTATATAAATAGTATGAAATATTTTAATAGCACACATTCTTGTGCTTTGGAACACCTGAAATGATAGAAACAAAATTCAATGTATAAAGCTAATCCTCTTGGCTCTATAATGAATCCTGAGAACTCTAATTTCAATTCTCAATGCAGCAGCTTCAAGTGGCAACATGAGTTGTTTCTTTTCCTCTTTCCACCATCTCCCCTTTTTTCATTGGCTCCGGACCTCTCCAACTGCTAACCGATTGGTTCAGATTAGGGAGTAGGGCGGGACTAAAAAAAAAATCCAACCAATAAAGTATCAGTAGTCTCCTTGCCACGCCTGGCCGCTTCTCCTCCGTGGCCACGCCTCCCCGTGTTCTGATTGGCCGGGGAGGATTCGAAGCCGTAACATCCGGGTTCCTCAGAGGAGGAGCCCTGGACTAGAGTTGAGACAGAGATAGGAAAAGGGAGGGGGGAAAAAGAGAGGCAGGAGTAGCGGACCAGAGAGGGAACCGCCCCAGCCCTCCAGAGGCATCTCCCATTGTAGCAGGTGAGAAACCCCTTCCCATTGCTAGAAAAAGGAAAGAAACAGATATATATTTTCAGATTGTTTACATTTCCTTTTCTCTGCCCAGTATTTCACCCCCTCCTTGCATTAAAACATATATATATATATTCAGATTGTTTACCTTTCTTTTTCTCTGTCCAGTATTTCACCCCCTCCTTGCATTAAAATAGTAGATTTTTCCTTATTTCATAATACAGTCCCTTCTTCTTTCTTCTCCATCTCATCATATGGGTTTCTCTTTATCCCTTCTACCTCCATCTCCAACCCATTCCTTCCCCTCCCTTTGTATTCCATAATATTCCCCATTTTCCCTTTTTTTTCACCACCTGCCAGCCTCTTAAATCTATTGTAGTCTTATTTATTCTCAGTTTGTTATGGCAACTGATTTGTAAAGGTTAAGTTAAAGGTTTCCCCCCCTGACATTAAGTCTAGTTGTGTCCAACTCTGGAGGTTGGTGCTCGTCTCCATTTCTAAGCCAAAGAGCCGGCGTTGTCCATAGACACCTCCAAGGTCATGACTGCATGGAGTGCCGTTACCTTCCCGCCGGAGCGATACCTATTGATCTACTCACATTTGTATGTTTTCGAACTGCTATGTTGGTACAAGCTGGGGCTATCAGCGGGAGCTCACCCCGATCCCTGGATTCGAACCGCCAACCTTTCGGTCAGCAATTTCAGCAGCTCAGCAGTTTACCCTGCTGCACCACCAGGAAGCTAATACAATGAAGATTGTAGTGTACTGTCCCCATAGTCACCTACGGATGTGGGAGCTGGACCTTAGGGAAGGCTGAGTGAAGGAAGATCGATGCTTTTGAGCTGTGGTGTTGGAGGAAAGTTCTGAGAGTGCCTTGGACTGCGAGAAGATCCAACCAGTCCATCCTCCAGGAAATAAAGCCTGACTGCTCATTGGAAGGAAGGATAGTAGACGCAAAGATGAAGAAGAAAGGAAAGCTTACAGAAGACAATGATGCTGAAGAAAATGGAAGGAAAAAGGAAGAGGGGCCGACCAAGGGCAAGATGGATGGATGGTATCCTTGAAGTGACTGGATTGACCTTGAAGGAGCTGGGGGTGGTGACAACCGTCAGGGAGCTCTGGCGTGGGCTGGTCCATGAAGTCATGAAGAGTCGGAAATGACTGAACAAATGAATAACAATAGTGTAGTCTAAATACACCTCTGTTTTCCAGGCAGTTATGCTGAGCTTGGATGACCACATCACCACTGAATCCACAGCTATGTTGGTAGAAGCTGGGGCTAAGAACGGGAGCTCACCCCTCCCCCTGGATTCGAAACACCGACCTTTCGATCAGCAAGTTGAGCAGCTCAGTGGTGTAACCCACTGGGCTACCGGGTGCTCATTTGTAGGAAGAGACAATCCCCATTCCATCCCATAATTTTCCTTTCTTTTGATGGTCATTTTTGCAAATGTTCTCTTTCCCACTCCAGGGATGCATCAATATTGCTGTTTGACACCACTGTTTGGTGTGGCACCAGTATTTCTTGGGCAGGGAAGGCAAAAGAGGGTGGAAAAGTACAACCATGACAGTTCTATGGTGTCAAACTGGATTAATTCTACAGTATAGATCAGTCATGGGCAAACTTCGGCCCTCCAGGTGTTTTGGACTTCAACTCCCACAATTCCTAACAGACTCAGGCTGAGGGGGGGAAAGAAGGGACCTGAGCCTGTTAGGAATTGTGGGAGTTGAAGTCCAAAACACCTGGAAGGCCGAAGTTTGCCCATGCCTGGTATAGATGCACTCCAGAACTAGCAGCTGTTTATTTTATTTTACTTTACTTCATGACTCACTTGTATTCTTCATCCCAGGACTTTAGAAATTGTTTAGTCTTTGCTGCCTTTCTTGCTCTTTCCGTGTTGTTATTGTGCCCTTTCAAGTCATTTTTGACGAAGGCTGGATTGAAACAGCCATATAATACTGATTATCAAAGCAGATAATCCAGATTATCTACCTTGGACTGAATTATATGAGTCTATACTACCATATAGTCCAGTTCAAAGCAGATAATCTGGATTTTATATGGCAGTGTTGATGGGGCATAATTGTTAATCACTCCTTTTGAGCCCCCTGTGGTGCAATGGATTAAACCCTTGTGCCAGCAGGACTGAAGGCCAACAGATTGGAGGTTTGAATCCAGGGAGAGTGCGGATGAGCTCCCTCTGTCAGCTCCAGTTCCTTATGTGAGGACATGAGAGAAGCTTCCCACAGGATGGTAAAACATCAAGAACATCCAGGCATCCCCTGGGCAATGTCCTTGCAGACGGCCAATTCTCTCACACCAGAAGCGAACTTGCAGTTTCTCAAGTCACTCCTGACATGTAAACCCCCCCCAAAAACAAAACAAAACAAAAACAAAAAACCCCATAAAAAAAAACAAAACAACAAACCTCCTTTTGAATCTGTGGATTGAGACCACAAATAGGGTCCCCCTGAGATCAGTGGTAGGGTCAAGAATAATTTGGCAACAGTAAAAGGTTTCTTAACACCACCATTTAAACTAGTGGTCTTTTTTTAAATCAGGAAACACTTGACCAGGGATCACTTTGACCAGAGACCACTCTCCAACATTAGTACCAAAAGGGTTATGAATTGGTTTTTGGTCAACTTTAGATTCAATTTGGTTATTTGGGGTGCTGATTCAGAAAACTGCATTGGATAGACCACACCAGCTCTAGTTTCTGATACAGAACATATGCCATCCAGTAGTCACCATCTGCTCATCTGCGGAAAACCATATTTAATAATCTAGAGCTGATGTGGTCTATCCAGTGCAATTTTCTGAACCAGCACCCCAAATAACCCTAGGAACAGGCCTAAAAATGGACACCAAGGCGCCCCCGCTTCCAGGTGCCGCGTGGAATGGTTCCGCTCAGGGGGAGGGAGAAGGAGGAGAAGCAGCAGTCAGGAGGCTTGTTGCCATGCCTTTTGTGGGTAGTCAGTCTCTCCCCTCCTGATATCCCCGTTGCCTCGGCACTATAAGAGGGTTTTGCAACGGTGTAGTAATGGTGAGGCAGTGGACCATATTTAGTTTTTGGCTACCACTGGTGGTCAATGGACCACAAGTTGGGAATCATTGATTTACACAAATCTGTTAGCTACAATGTGTAGTGTTTACAGTACCGAGCCTGCAAACTTTGTCTTTTATTTGTTTGTTTGTTTTTAATGCAATACAACTGTTTTGGTTTGCTCCTGAAATGATAAATAAATAAATACAGTGGACTCTGCAGAAAATGCTTCAGCTGTACTCCACAAAAAGAAACTTCAATCTGTTTAGCAGGCCTTGCAAATGCCAGTTAATTATCAGTAAATGTCTGATCTTTATACCTATTTTGTATACCTTTATACCTTTGGTCATACAAGAATGTTGCAGGTGCAAGGAGGTCACAAGTGGAAAAGCTTTAAGAAACTCTGGTATAGATGAACCAAGTCAGAAATTACTCGAAAGGACACAATTACTAGCATTTGTTTTGTTTTCTTCATTGTGTTTTGTGACAGAAAGCTACGGGACCATGGCAGAGCCACCAATAGAAGATGAAGGGGAGGAAGCAGCCCAAGGCCAAGCAAAGCAGGAGCCAACTCACCAGGCCACCGTGGCAGCCAAGAATCTCGCCATCTTGAAGGCTCGATCCTTCGATGTCACCTTTGAGGTGGGAGATGAATATGAGGTCATTGAGACGATCGGCACCGGAGCTTACGGTGTGGTCAGCTCTGCACGTCGTAAGGATACAGGTGGGTTAAGGCAGAATGGTTGTGGATGGAAGTCAGGATCTGCTCTATTTGGTTTCAGGGCTGTAAGAAATAGCTTATGGAAAACATGTAATAGGTTCCCCTTAGGGTCGTCATAAGTCATAAACAACTTGAACTATCTGCAAAATCGCATCTCCTTGTATAAACCAGCTCGAGCACTGCGGGCATGTTTTCCAACCATGCAGATAGCGTCAACAATGTTATTGGTACATTTCCTCTAATGAACATATTATTGCACTATATTATTTTTAATGTCTCAATAAACTAATAATCAATGTATTGTCAAAGGCTTTCATGGCCGGAATCACTGGGTTGTTGTAGGTTTTTTTCAGGCTATATGGCCATGTTCTAGAGGCATTCTCTCCTGACGTTTCATACCTCACTACCTCTGAAGATGCTTGCGATAGATGCAGGCGAAACGTCAGGAGAGAATGCCTCTAGAACATGGCCATATAGCCGAAAAAAACCTATAACAACCCAACCTAATAATCACTTCACATATTTATTTATTTATTTATTTATTTATTTATTTGTGACATTTATATGCTGCCCTTCTCACCCCGAAGGGGACTCAGAGTGGCTTACAAGATAAATATACATACAATATATTATATTATTAGCATATATTATTGCTGTTTTTAAATTGTTTTAAATTGTTTTTAAATTGTGTTAGATTTTAGCCATTCCTGTAAGCCGCTCCGAGCCCCAGGGGAGTGGCGGCATATAAGTTCAAATAATAAATTAATAGTACAATATCAATATTATATATTACTATATTCAACTATATAATTCTATTGTAATATTATTAGTAATAATACATGTAATATAAAATATATAATTATAATATTATATAATTATTGATTCATACACCAAATTCTTTTTTCCTGTTTTTTTCCCTTTTATCAGGCCAGCAGATGGCCATCAAGAAAATCCCTAATGCCTTTGATGTGGTGATGAATGCAAAGCGCACTCTGCGGGAGCTGAAGATCCTTAAGCATTTCAAGCATGACAACATAATCGCTATCAAGGATATCCTTAAACCCTCTGTGCCTTATGCTGAATTCAAATCCGTGTAAGTGCCTCTCCTCCTCAAGTCCTGTAAAGTAAAAAAGGAGTTCTTTTTATTTAAAAAGTCTAGGACTTGTATTTGTGTACATATTTAAAAAGTATAGGACTTGGATATGTGTATATATGCATATATGTTTTCTTGTATTTCTGAATATATGTTTCTAGTTCCCAAAGTGGGTTCCATATATTTTCATCAGAGAGTGTCTCTCTTGCTTGACTTGAGCATCATGAAATGCTTCATGAAGGCTTAGAAATCCAGGATCTGCTGTCAACTTTGGGCCACTTTTTGCTCTCATTTAGACTAACTTACCTCAAAAGGATAGTTGTAATGACAGTATGGAATGAGAAAGCCAACCTTGAACACCTTGGAGATACAGCAGGATATAGAATGCAATTAATGAATCCCACGACCAGCTTATTTTGTTCTATTACTTTCCTTTTGAAAAGACTACTAATCTATGTTCACTGGGTTGCTGTGAGTTTTCCGAACTGTATGGCCATGTTCCAGAAGTGTTCTCTCTTGATGTTTCACCCACATCTGTGGCAGGCATCCTCAGAGGTTGTGACGTCTGTTGGAAACAAGGCAAGTGGAGTTTATATATTTGTGGAATGTCTAGGGTGGGAGAAATAACTCTTGCCCGTTTGAGGCAGGTATGAATGTTGCAGTTTGACTACCTTGATTAGCATTGAATGGCCTTGCAGCTTCAAAGCCTGGATGCCTGCCATAAATGTGGGCAAAACATCAGGAGATAATGCTTCTGGAACATGGTCATATATCCCAGAAAACTCACAGCAACCCAATGATTCCAGCCATGAGAGCTTTCAACAACACTTTATTCAGATATAAATGTCTGTTATTTCTTTTCTCCATCACATTTCTATCTTGCCATTCCTCTAAGAATCTCAAGTGGCATATGTGATGCTGCCAGCTACATATACTGTCTCCTTCAAACAATCTGAAGAGGCTGTTTGGCTGTATTGGTTATTTGTTTATATTTTGCTCTTTCCCATTGAGTTCAAGGCAATTTTACATGGCTCTCCTTAGAATCATAGAATCATAGAATGATGGAGTTGGAAAAGACCTCATGGGCCATCCAACCCCCTGCCAAGAAGCAGGAAAACGTATTCCAGCTTGTCAACATCTCTCTTCAATTGTGGTGCCCATAATTGGACACAATATTCCAGGTGTGGTCTGCTTCTGTGAGGTAGTCCTGGCTGGAAGTAACAGGGTTAAGACTACATAATAAGTATTCATATCTCTGAAGAGGCAAGTACCTTTACTCCCAACTCATGTCTAGGTGTCTATCTGAGAGTGGATGTCAGGCCCATTGAGCACCATGGTGAGGACTTTCACATGTTCTCTTCCTAAATGTCTTGCTCATTTCTTGTCAGGTATGTGGTGCTGGATTTGATGGAGAGTGACCTGCATCAGATCATCCATTCTTCTCAGCCTCTTACCTTGGAGCATGTCCGCTACTTCCTCTACCAGCTATTGCGGGGACTCAAATACATCCATTCGGCCAACGTCATTCATCGGGACCTCAAGCCCAGCAATCTGTTGATCAACGAAAACTGTGAACTTAAGATTGGGGACTTTGGTATGGCCCGAGGTCTCTGCACCAAGCCGGACGAGTACAAGTACTTCATGACGGAGTATGTGGCCACCCGCTGGTACAGGGCTCCTGAGCTGATGCTCTCCCTCCATGAGTACACCCAAGCCATAGATATGTGGTCAGTTGGGTGCATTTTTGCCGAGATGCTTGGGCGGAAGCAGCTCTTTCCAGGGAAGAATTACATCCATCAGCTTCAGCTCATCATCACCGTCCTGGGCACTCCTCCGGCCAAAGTTGTCCATTCCATTGGGGCTGACCGGGTGCGGGCCTACATTCAGAGCCTGCCCTCACGCCAACCGGTGCCATGGGAGACCCTCTATCAGAATGCTGACCGGAAGGCCTTGTCTTTGCTCTCAAAGATGCTCCGCTTTGATCCCCGTGAGCGAATATCAGTGGTGGAGGCCCTGAATCACCCCTTCTTGGCCAAGTATCACGACCCAGATGATGAGCCCAACTGCGTCCCAGCTTTTGATTTCGATTTTGACAAACAGGTACTCACCAAGGAGCAGATCAAAGAAGCCATAGTGGCCGAAATCAATGACTTCCATGAACGTCGGGAGGGCATTCGGCGCCAGATCAGCTTCAAGCCAACCTTGAGGCCTGCTGCCATTAGTGGGGGTTATGGAGATGAAACCTCCAGCCAAACCCATCTTCTGTACTGCCATGATGTGGATATGCCCAGTGCTGGTTCACCTCGAATGGCAGACGGTGACTATGCAATGGCGTCTCCTGTCCTATGTTCCCTGACTGAGACAATAGATCTCACCTCACCCCTCGCAACTACAGCTGTGGTCCAGCCTGAGGTGAAGGCCGAAGCAGAAACCCCCGCAGCACCTCCCAAGAGGGAAGGTGCCATCTCAGATGACACTAAGGCTGCCCTCAAGGCTGTTATCTTAAAATCTGCCCTCCGAAATAAGAATAAAGGTAAGGTGGAAAGGTCTGGTGGACCAATTGGTTGATTTATTTGAGATAGAGAGCCAGTGGAGTGCTGCAGTTAGAGGACTGGGATTTGGAAACTCACTTAAGTCTGTTGTTGTTGTGATATTTAAATCTTTTCCCATAGATTGGAACTTAAAAGTCACTCTTTTTGTGTGGCTCCAAGTTGGACTTCTCTAAGGAGAACGTATTGTGTTTCTTTTTGGGCTTGAGAGTGTGTAACCTACCCAAAGTCATCCAGTGGGTTTCCATAGTCAAGTAGGGAATTGAACCCTAGTCTCCAGTATTATCGTCCAGCACTAAAACTGTTGTCTCTCCATTCTTCTTTGGTTTCACCTAAATCATAGGATTGTGAAGAGGCAGAGAGAAATATATACAGTAGAGGCTTGCTTATCCAACCTACATAACGTTACCGTGTATTGAACTGCTTTTTCTGTCCATTTGTAGTAAAACATGATGTATGGTGCTTAATTTGCAACATCATAACGTAACTTGACGTTTAATAGACTTTTCCTTAATCCCTTCTTATTATCCAACATTTTCGCTTATCGAACGTTCTGCTGGCCCGTTTATGTTGCTTAAGTGAAACTCTACTGTACCTACAGTTTTGGTAGCTATAGCTGATAAACAGTAACATTTCCAAGCTCTGGTGATGATCTTCTCGTTGTCCTTGGTGGTTTGCAGAATTTTTCTATTGAAGCAGACCGTGGAATTACAAATTTGGGTGTTGGTGATTTGTTTTTATGTGATTTGAAAGACTTGATTTGAATTTGAAATTGTTGGGCACAGTTGAAGTTTGGTGGGGTTTTTCTTCTTCTTACAATTAGTAGAAGTTTCCAGATATTTTAATGGAAAGGAGAATTATGTGGAGAAAATCTGTTCACTATTCAAAACCAACTGCATAGGTGGGGCTTGTATCACTCTAAAGCAGGGGTTGTTGCTATTTGGGAAAAACTGCCCTAAAAGTTGAGCATGAAGTGCCATGTGATGTGGCTGCAAAGAATTTAGAGATTAGGTAGGCAAAAATGCAGAGTCCAGTCTTTAAAATCACAGAAGTTTATTTACAATACAGTAGAGTCTCGCTTATCCAACTTAAACAGGCCGGAGAACGTTGGATAAGTGAAAATGTTGGATAATAAGAAGGGATTAAGGAAAAGCCTCTTAAATGTCAAATTGTTGTTGTTCATTTGTTCAGTCATTTCCGACTCTTCGTGACCTCATGGACCAGCCCACGCCAGAGCTCCCTGTCAGCCGTCACCACCCCCAGCTCCTTCAAGGTCAGTCCAGTCACTTCAAGGATCCCATCCATCCACCTTGCCCTTGTTTGGCCCCTCTTCCTTTTGCCTTCCACTTTCCCCAGCATAATTGTCTTCTCTAGGCTTTGCTGTCTCCTCATGATGTGGCCAAAGTACTTCAACTTTGTCTCTAGTATCCTTCCCTCCAATGAGCAGTCGGGCTTTATTTCCTGGAGGATGGACTGGTTGGATCTTCTGGCGGTCCAAGGCACTCTCAGCACTTTCCTAAAACACCACAGTCCAAAAGCATCTATCTCCCTTTGCTTAGCCTTCTGTATGGTCCAGCTCTCACATCCGTAGGTGACTATGGGGAATACCATTGTGATTTTACAAATTAAGCACCAAAACATCATGTTTTACAACAAATTGACAGAAAGAGCAGTTCAATACATGGTAACATTATGAAATAATTACTGTATTCACTAATTTAGCACCAAAACAGACAAGGGTTCTTTCTTTCTCCCATCCTGGACATTATTCTACAGATAAATACACACTCCACTTCTCTCACCTGTGGATCTGAGCAGGAGGTAGACTGTGTTGGGTAATGCAGAACGTTGGATAAGTGAAGGTTGGATAAGCAAGACTCTACTGTAATAATAACTGCATTTCTTAATAATCAAGATCTGGGTCTGAGCTACTCTAACACCCATCTCTTCAAAGGTTTCAAGAGAGGGAAAAATCATCCAAGCACCTCATCTCTCTGACACACAAGCAGAGAGAGATCTCAAAGCACACAGCACATACTCTCCATACTTTGTTTGTTGTTGTTGTTGTTCATTCTTTCAGTTGTTTCCGACTCTTCGTGACCTCATGTACCCGCCCATGCCAGAGATCCTTGTTGGCTGTCGCCACCCCCAGCTCCTTCAAGGTCAATTCAGTCACTTCAAGGATGCAATCCATCCATCCATCTTGCCCTTGGTCGGCCCCTCTTCCTTTTTCCTTCCATTTCCCCCAGCATCATTCTCCATAGTAAGAATCCTGTCTCCTCATGATGTGGCCAAAGTACTTCATCTTTGCCTCTAATATCCTTCCCTCCAATGAGCAGTCGGGCTTTATTTCCTGAAGTATGGCCTGATTGGATCTTCTGGCGGTCCAAGGCACTCTCAGGACTTTTCTCCAACACCACAGTTCAAAAGCATCTATCTTTCTTTGCTCAGCCTTCCCTATGGTCCAGCTCTCACATCCATATGTGACTATGGGGAATACCATTGCTTTAACTATGCGGAACTCTCCATACTAGGATGTAAGAAAACAGAAGTCAGATTCAAAAAAGGCTTGCAGTAGAAAAGTACCCATTCTACACAGCCAATCAGAATGAGAGCAGATATAGAGAGCAGAGAAGAAATAAATACATTCCCAACCGTCATACAGGAGACATGGCGGAAGGGAAAGCCTTAGTCTATACTAAATTAACTAAATTGTTCCTCATTGAGACTTGGGCAGTGTGGGGTTGAATTCCAACAGTTGCTTCTGTAGAAAAATGAAATTTGGGAGTGATCCATTGATTTGGAAGGCCACACCTTCACATATCTACTCCATAACAATGTATTTTTAAAAAAGCATCCCTCTTCATTCTGCAGATACGGCATCCTGTGTCCCAGAGACTCCTGATATCCGAAGGCCAGTGACGGCAAAGGAGCGCCAACGGGAGCGAGAAGAGAAACGCAAGCGGCGCCAGGAACGGGCCAAGGAGCGGGAGAAGCAGAAGAAGGAGAAAGAGAGGGAACGCAGGGACATGCTGACAGAGAATGACCGCAACCTTCTGGAAAGGTGGACCAAAATGGTGGACCGAACCCAAAGCAAGCCAGCCCAGAATGGGTCTGCAGCCCTCCCGCAGACAACCACTCCCAGCCACAACTTGCCTCAAGCCCCTTCTGGCAACCACTTGCCACCTCAGGTGCCCCCCGCTTGCCATATCCCGGCTACCCCTTCCAGCAACACCCCTGCGCCAACTGACTTTCTGACTTTCTCAGACAAGGAGGTGCCTACTGTGGGACCCAAGCTGACGATTGTTCCTGTGGGTTCAGTTCAGAGCTCCAGTACAAATGTGGTTCATTTTTTCCCAGCGCAAACTGCCCCGTTCCTGGTGGCCACCCCAGCTTGCCAAAAAGCCATCCCCTCAAAGCCAGAGTGCCTCCTGAGTGTCAAATATGCCCCTAGCCCGATCTTCCAAGCTCCTTATGGCGTTGCGGCACTGAATGCTTGGAGTGGTGTCCCCTCGCCTGAGAACTGGGCTGCGGCAGGTCAGCTGCCAGTGACCCAACCAGAGGTAGCGTCTTCTAGTAGCGCTCTGCCCGAACAAACAAGTTTTGGGACCACTATGGAGCAGCCTCTGTTCCTGGCAGAAATGGGCAAACCTGAGCCTCCACCATCAGGTTTTGTTGACGAAACATCATCAGTGGCAAAGGGGCCTGCTCAGCACCAGATAACCTCAGACCTGCCTTTGGAACCTCCAGATATTAATGTGGTGACACAGCAGCTGTCTAAATCCCAGGTAATGGCTTATGGCCAGTTCTTCTTATGGGTCCAGGGACTATACACCGGACTTTCACTCAGAATTGGGCAACTGTGCTGAGTTTGGGATCAATGTTTGCCTCTTATCACAACCTGGCAGGTTGTGTGTGCGATCCACCAGAAGGGATGCCATGCCAACCCTGCTCCCATTCATTTAAGGGGGTGCAGTAGTTTCAACTACCATGTCAGTCTTTGTTGGTGTTACCATGTGATTACCTTTTCAAAAGATGAGTGTATTGTGTCTTAATTCTAGGTGGAAGATCTCCTGCCTCCTGTTTTCTCTGGAACCCCAAAAGGCAGCGGTGCTGGCTATGGGGTTGGGTTTGACTTGGAAGAATTCCTGAACCAGTCTTTCGATATGGTAGGAGAGAACAGAGAAAGGTACGAGACCTGCATTTCGTTGGTTTTTACCTAGAATATTGTTTAGGATAGTGTGCGCTGTTTTATTTCTGGTATCCTTCGGGACCACCTTGTGGGAATGGGACTTGGAAGCACTGTTTTGCAGTGTTTCCGGTCCTTCCTGGAGGGTTGGGTCCAGAAATTGGTGTTGGGGGACTTCTGTTTGACCCCATGGCCTTTTTCTGTGGGGTCCAGTGCTGTGGGGTTCAGTGCTGTCCCCCATGTTGTTTAACATCTACATGAAACTGTTGGGAGAGATCATCTGGAGTTTTGGAGTTTGGTGCCATCTGTACGCACCCAAGTCCAAAACACTTGGAGGGCCAAAGTTTGCCCATGTTTGGGGTAGAGGATGTTGGTGTTTCTTTTAGATTCACTAACCTATAAGATTAAAAGATTAAACTCTTGCCTTTTGCCACTCTACTCAGAGAAGGAGATGGTTCCTTATTTTTGCTAAATAGCTCCACTGGCTGCCGTTTATCTACTGAGCCCAATTCAAGGTACAGGTGCTTACCTACAAAGCCCTGAATGGTTTGGGACCAGCCTACCTGCGTGACCGCATCTCCGTCTACGAACCCACACGATCTCTCCGTTCATCTGGAGAGGCTCTGCTCGTGATCCCACCTGCGTCGCAAGCGCGTTTGGTGGGGACATGAGACAGGGCCTTTTCCGTGGTGGCCCCCCGACTCTGGAACACCCTCCCCAAAGATCTTAGACAGGCCCCTACATTGGCAGCCTTCAGAAAGAACTTGAAGACCTGGCTGTTCCGATGTGCCTTTCCCGAATAGGAAACCTCCATTACCAAGTCCCACAAGCACTTTATTAAAGCCAAGATTGCCGCACATTGCACACTGCACTTGTCCATAAACCTCATTTCCACCTGTCACATCAGCACTTTTAACCCTTGTACCCTTACTCTGGCCCGGCCCAGTTTTATTGTGCCTTAGTGGATTGTTCATTGTTTGTTGTTTTAGATTGCTTTAATTGTTTTAATTTGCCTAGGTTTTGTATTGTTGTATTGTTTGTCGAGGCCTTGTCCTTTGTAAGCCGCATCGAGTCCTGCGGGAGATGCTAGCGGGGTACAAATAAAGTTTAATAATAATAATAATAAAAATAAATGTTTATATAGAGTATTTATATCGATCCATAGATAAGTTGACCCAGATTTCTTCAGTCAATGTTTTAATTTCTAGACTTTTACATGTGTGTATATATGCGGCCCATTCACTGTCATTATGTTTGGATTACTGCTTTCCCCCCCTATGTTCTGTGTATATTGTTTATTGTGCTTATATGTTTTGTACTTTAATGTGACGTTGTTTATTTTATTGTAATTCTTATTTTATTTTATTGTAATTTGTTATTTGGGCCTGGCCTCATGTAAGCCGCTCCGAGTCCCTGTTTGGGGAGATGGTGGCGGGGTATAAATAAAGATTATTATTATTATTATTATTATTATTATTATTATTATTATTATTATTGTAAATAAATTTTAACCAGGAGTAGAAAATAAGAAACTTCCACACAGCTCATATTTTACTTCTCTCTCTCTCTTTCCCCTGTGAATTTATTAGCCAAGGAGATTCTGCCCCGCTTTCGGCCTCCCTTCTTGCCGACTGGTTGGAAGTCCATCGGATGAACCCAGCCGATATGGAGTCCCTCCAACAAGAACTCCAGCTGGGCTCTCCCATGATCCTCTCTGACATTCCTGACCTCCAGGATGCATGAAAAGCTGGAATACCGTCTGCCATTTTCTTCTTTTCCAAAATCATTGCCTGGAGGTGGGAAGGGGAAAAAAACAAAAGCCCAGCAAAGGCCGAGCAAACTTGGAGAGTTCACAACTGATCCATTTGCCTTCACGATTACTCCGGCTGGGAACCGCAGTGCCTGTGTCTGTTGCGTTGAAGCAAATGCGGAACTGGGCTGGTGTTTGGACTGAAGGACTTTCCCGGAAAGGTGTAAGGTGATGGTGTGTTATACCCATGTCACCTTGTGTTGGGTGTGTTTTGTCAAGCAGGAATGAAAGCTGTCCCAAGACTGCAAGAACAATACTAAGGGTGTGTGTGTGTTTGTGTATTACTTGTTGCCTTTGAGACAGCTGTCAAGTAAATTCCTTCCTGACCCCTCACTGTGTCTTCCTTACCTCCTAGCCTAAAATATGGATATTGGTTTTCACATATAGTGCATCAAGAGGTGTTTGAAGGGGCAAATATCTGGAGAAATATTTTTTCCAGAAAAAACGTGAGTAGTAAATACAGCTATAGCTTACTTTGTCTTTAGACTTGTGAAATAGTTGGATTGTAACAGAGGGAGATAAAAAGCCCTGCCAATTGCTGTATTCGACTAGTTGTCCATTTAGCTTGATGTGTGTTCAGATTGGTCGCAGCAAGTAACCAGTCTCTTCTTGAACTACTTTAACTGGAAATGCCAAGCATTTATCTTAGCATATTCTACAGCTGGCTGGATGATGGATGCCTGAGGGATATATTTTTGGACTGCAACCCTTATCATCTTGGCATTATAACCAGGAGTAAGGGATGATAGGAGTAGCATTCAGAGACACTAGAGCGGGCACAGTTGCCCAGTCCTGCTCTGCAATATGTGCTATGCTTATGATGTAACGGCTGTCTCTTAAATGGCATCTACTGGGATTTCACAAACCCAATGTTCAGGAATGGTTGGTGTTGGTACTTTGGGACTTAGTAGGGTTTGGACCAGTGATCCACAAACTTTTTGAACAGAGGGCCAGATTTCAGTCCCTCAAACTGTTGGAGGGCCGGATTATAATTTGAAAAAAGAAAGAAAGAATGAATTCCTATGCACACTGCACATATCTTATTTGTACTTTAAAAAACACTTTAAAACAATACAATAATTTAAATGAAGAACACTTTTAATGAATACAAACTTATTAGTATTTCAATGGGAAGTGTTGGCCTGCTTTTGGCTGATGAGATAGGATTGTTGTTGTTGTTGTTGTTGTGTGCTTTCAAGTAGTTTCAGACATAGGTTGACCCTGAGCGAAGGGCGGGTAAATGACCTTGGAGGGCCTTATCCAGCCCCTGGGCCTTAGTTTGATGACCTGTGGTTTAGACCAATGGTTCACAACCTGGGGTCTCCAGATGTTTTTGGCCTACAGCTCCCAGAAATCCCAGCCAGTTTACCAGCTGTTAGGATTTCTGGGAGTTGAAGGCCAAAATCTTCTGGGGACCCCAGGTTGAGAACCACTGGTTTAGACTCTCACGCATATATATGTGTCTGTGTGGAGTCCACATGGAAATGAGTGTTACCTATTCAGGTCTCACTTAAAGCCATAGTTGTCATGTTGTCATTCAAAAGAAGTATCCTCGATCCACAGCCCTAGTCAGTGTTATGGAATCATAGAGTTGGAAGAGACCTCATGGGCCATCCAGTCTAACCCTCTGCCAAGAAGCAGGAAACCCACATTCAAAGCACACCTAACAGATGGCCATCCAACCTCTGTTTAAAAGCCTCCAAAGAAGGAGCCTCCATCACACTCTGAGGCAGAGAGTTCCACTGCTGAACAGCTCTCACAGTCAGGAAGTTCTTCCTAATGTTCAGGTGGAATCTCCTTTCTTGTAGTTTGAAGCCATTGTTCTGCATCCTAGTCTCCAGGGAAGTAGAAAACAAGCTTGCTCCCTCCTCAATATGACTTCCCCTCATATATTGGTACATGGCCCTCATCATGTCTCTTCTCATCCTTCTCTTCTGCAGGCTAAACATGCCTAGCTCTTTAAGCCGCTCCTCATAGGGCTTGTTCTCCAGACCCTTGATCATGTAAAGTTGTTACAATGACTTTAATTGTTTTGTAGGAAAGGGGGCATTCTGTTCTAAAAAGCAAAAGTTCCATCCCGGGTGTAGTATGGCAACCCTACTAGATTCCTGTTTAGTATTGTGGCAGTAGCTTGTCCGTATGCATAGCCTCATTTTTGTGAGCAGTTGTTGCCATTTACAGTCAGTCAGCTTTGACTTCATGGTGACCTTTTCAATGAGAGGTCTCCACAACTTTGCCGGGATCCTCAGGGCTGTGGCTAACTTGATACAGCCTATCTACTTGTAATGCAGTCTTCCTCTTTTCCTACTGTCTCACACTTTTATCAAACACGATTGTCTTTGTAAATGTTGTCTAATGATGTGGCCAAACTACAATAGCCTCAGTTTGGTCATTTTTGGCTTCAGACTTGATTTGTGGCGTCTGTAGAACTCTCTTCCAGGAGCACATTTCAAATCTTGATTCTCTTTCTCTCAGCTTCTTCTTTTTACTTTTTACTATCCAGATTTTATACGTATATCAAAGCATTTGTTCCGGGCAGAAATCCAGCCAATTTAACCCCCCCCCCCCCTGTTCTTTGTGGGATAGAAACCTTTGCTTCCCTGCATCCACACTAGCCTCTCACTCGGTGCCTTGCCTAGATAAAAAGCTTATTTTTTTTGCAGGTATAACCTGACAACTGGTGTCATTTTCTGCCAGGTCTGCTGTTGAAAGGTAATGCCCATGTATTCTAAGGATATTATGGATCACCTTTCTACAAAAGAGGCATTCTGTGTTCCTCCACTTACAACTTGCAGAGCTCACTTTTGTGTGCCCATGGGTCATTCTCTGCGAACTGTACATTGTGCATACAATGAGCTTTTTTGTGTCAGAAGCAACTTAAAAACAGCAAGTCGCTTCTGGTGTGAGATAATTGACCATCTTCAAGGACATTGCCCAGGGGATGCCCAGATGTTTGATGTTTTACCATTCTTGTGGGAGGCTTCTCTCATGTACCTGTATGGGGAGCTGGAGCTGACAGAGGGGAGCTCAACCCACTCTCCCCAGATTCAAACCACTGACTTGTTGGTCAGCAGTCCTGCCGTCACAAGAGTTTAACCCATTGTGCCACCGGGGACTCCATACAATGAGCTCTCACTGTGCCACCCCAAAGTCCCCTTCAGACATGACAGCACTCTTGGGAGGTTTGGGGTTCAACATTATATCTTGAAATGGAGAAATATATTTCCATTGAAATGGTTGGACAAAAGCTCTCAGAAAGTTTGGCCACTGTGACCAATGAGAAAGGAATATGGGATGTTGTGACTCAGGTAGTAGTTTCACTGCCAAGACACTGAGCCTCAACATGGGAGTTGTGTTCAACAACTCTACATAAAAACCACAAAGGCACCCGTCAGATTAAAGCTAAGCAGGGTCAATCCTGGTTGAATGGGAGAGTGCCAATAAATAAAGGGTGCTGTAGGCCATGTTTCAGAGGAAGTGGCAAAATCACCTCTTGAGTATCTCTTACCTAAGAAAACCCTATTGAATTAATGAGATTGCTATAAGTTGACAGTCAATTTGAAGATAAATATTTTGTTATTTATTTATTCAGTTGTTTCTGACTCTTCATGGCCTCAGAGCTCCCTGTCGACCGTCACCACCCCGAGCTCCTTCAAATACAGTCACTTCAAGGATACCACCCATCCATCTTGCCCTTGGTTGGCCCCTCTTCCTTTTTCCTTCCATTTTCCCATCATCATTCTCTTCTCCAAGCTTTCCTTGGATATTTAGTCAACAACATCTGGAGGGCTAAAGCTTTCTAGATCCTACAGTATTTGTTTCTGGAAATAACATCTGCTAGATGTAACAAAACTGCATTGAGTTCCATAAGTTTTTCTTTGGCAAGGGACACTCAGAGGTGGTTATGCCAGTTCTTTTCTCTGAAATACATCCTGCATTGCCTAGTTTTGGTTGGTGGTCCTCAATCCAAATACTAATATGGGCTGACCCTGCTTAGCTTCTGATATCAGGCAGAATCTGGCACCTTCAGGGTGTTTAGCTCCTGTTGTGAAGTTAGCATTGCTCAAAATATGAAGTTTCTCCCAGCATCCAAGAGCGCCTTTCTCAAGGCTTATTTCATTGCATGCTTTTGTTCCTATAGGCCAGTGGTTCTCAACTTGTGGGTCCCCAGGTGTTTTGGCCTACAACTCTCAGAAATCCTGGCTAGTTTACCAGCTGCTAGTATTTCTGGGAGTTGAAGGCTAAAACATCTGGGGACCCACAGGTTGAGAACCACTACTATAGGCTATGATGATATACTTCAAGGTTTAGAGCAGGGGTTCTCAACCTGGGGTTCCCAGATGTTTTTGGCCTCCAAGAAATCCCAGTCAGTTTATCAGCTGTTAGGATTTCTGGGAGCTGAAGGCCAAAAACATCTGGGGACCCTAGGTTGAGAACCACTGGTTTAGAGGGTATTACTATTGATGTTCCACTTTCCAACAGAGAAGTTGATTTCAGAACCTTTTCTCACTTTTTTCGTAGTTGTAGGAAAGAATATCTGTTTCTTAAAGGATCTGTGTATATTTGCATAGCAGAGATAACTTTCCCTTTCTGCTCATAGAGTAACCTCAAAAAACTGTTTATTGTTGGGCAGGAGTGAGCAAAATGCAGTTCTGACTCAGCTCCAGCTCCCAAAAAGCTTTTTATGTGGCTCTAAACTTCGCCAGTCTCCACAGACCATTTTATTTCTGAGATCCAGAGGTCTAATTTGAAATGGATTTTTGGCTGTGTTCTCCAATATCTCTGTACAACCGGTCGGAAGCCTTTGAGTGCTGCTGTCCTTAGGCTGGAGTGTGGTGGTGTATTTTTCTCAAAAGTGTTTGTGATGTCTTAGAATGTCTTTTTTTTGGTCTTGCAATTTCTATTAAAACCATGATTTATGTATTTAAAAACCATGTAGTCCTTGTGTCATATCATTTAGGGTGGGACCTAGTTGGTTGAGGTGTTTTGGGACATGTTGTCTGACACATCATGAGCTTAGGTGAGGCATGGAGTCAGCTGGTTGGCAACCTCCCTAGAAAAACATTTGGGTGACTGCAGATCTTGCTGTAGCTTTGGTTGAATATTTGATATTGTAAATATTCTCAACAGGGATGCATTGAAACCTTTTGTCTCAGGCCAAAACTACATGGTGATTTGATCCAGAGCTCAAGTCTTGCCAAAGATATTATTACCTAGCCAAGAACTGATAAAGGAGGGACAAAGTTCATTGCTGGGGCCAGATGTACCTCCCAACACTTTTTCCATGTCCCAGACATAGTCACCATCCTTTGTATTGAAAACAAAGATATCTAAAGCAAAGGTTTTTGCCTTTTTCTGAGTCAAACTTGGGTGAATGTTGACTTGGAAGCCTCCAGGCATTGTGATCCACCTTTCATTGCATGACACCAAATGTATACGTTTTCAAGATCATGTTGGTACTTGTATCCTGGAGGCCGATACCTGTGATTTTTCTTTTTGTTGTTGTTCATTCGTTCAGTCGTCTCCGACTCTTTGTGACCTCATTGACCAGCCCACGCCAGAGCTCCCTGTCAGCCGTCACCACCCCCAGCTCCTTCAAGGTCAGTCCAGTCACTTCAAGGATGCCATCCATCCATCTTGCCCTTGGTCGGCCCCTCTTCCTTTTGCCTTCCACTTTCCCCAGTCTTCTCCAGGCTTTGCTGTCTCCTCATGATGTGGCCAAAGTACTTCAACTTTGTCTCTAGTATCCTTCCCTCCAATGAGCAGTCAGGCTTTATTTCCTGGAGGATGGACTGGTTGGATCTTCTCGCAGTCCAAGGCACTCTCAGAACTTTCCTCCTTTTCTTACCTGCGTCTAAAAAAACCAAGTTCTTGCTAGATATTTTCTAGGTACTCCAGTGCAATATTATGGTATTCTTCTTGAATTTGGAGGTATTGCACATCTGAAAGTCTGAAAACCATGTTGTGTAAGGGGGCTTATTAACAAAAGACCCTCATAAA